GAAGGGCCACCTGAGAGGCAAGAATATGGCTCGTTTACACGATTCAGTTGAATTGTACTTCATGCTTGCCTCGAGGTATGGTTTACAATTATTGGCTTGAGTGAATGAGATTTATATTAATATGCATACTCTCAGAAAGATTTTAAAACCTGATGCTGGACGCTTTTTCCTCCGGTAGGCCCAGACTGACCTGAGAAGAGGGTGAGTACAGATGTAGTGGCACTCAGCGTAGTCATCAGGGCTCGATGTTCAGCGTGTGAAAGTTATCACGTAATTACGTGATACTGAGCCTTTTTTTTTTCTCAGTGTGGCAGCAATACACTCCAGTACAGAGAGTGACATATGACACATGACGTCAAACACTGCTTTTAATGAACACGTTTATTTTGTTTGGTTCACATTCAGTACAGATGAAAATGTTACATACTCAGTTGACTTTAACTCTTGAATAAACACACTGACTTTCATATTTCTCTCTTCTTGATCTGCTGACCTTGTCCATCCTTAAAGCAGCATAATTGTTGTCTTCTATGACCTGATGAAAGTTAAAGTGACATTATGGGATTATTTCTGATTTAAGCATTATCTGTATCAATAAAACCTGTTTATGTTTATTCTACCTAACTGAATGACTGATTTTGATAAACTGATGTCAAACTGGCTCAGAGTTTAATACATACCTCAGTGTCTGGCAGTAGGATGGCTGCGTGTCTCGCTTGATCGTCTATAACAACACCCAATAGTGTTAGTAATTATTATTGCTAAAATTTAAGCAAATAGTTGTGTTTTCTAAGTTAAATTCTGCTATAATTTAACAATACATATTTATTTGGAGAAATACCTCACCTAATACAGAGCTAATGTCGTACACTGGAGTACACACAGTCATTCTCCACATTGTCCATCCGTCGTCTGGTTCTGTTGTGGACACTTAAAGCAGCATAATGGAGGTTTTCTTCATCTCCGTAGCCCTGCAAACAACACACACAATATCAGTTCACCGTGGTATGATGGTGGACCGAGGGTTAAAGAATGATGACATGGTGAGAGGTTTCATTTACCTCTTCATTTGTTGTGGAGGGAGCTGATATTTCTCTGGTTGAATCTGGTTATAAAAATTGATAATATATATTATTATTAAATCAAAGTTCCCTGAATAAAATCCACCCAGTATTAATTCTAAATAAAGTGTTACCTGAACACTTGCAGCAGTTCTCTTTGTTCCTCTTAACCAGTAACACAGACAGAAAAACACTGAGGATGGAGGTGAAGGTCAAAGCTGCGTACATTAAATACGTCAAGTTCACTTCGTCTGCTGAGGAGAAAATTCAAAATCCTTTGTCTTTGTCTCATATTTATATGAATACATGTAGTACTTTAAAGAATGAACCTTGATTTCCTGACCAGTGTCTTGGAGTAACCTACCTTGAGACTCCACTTTAGTTCCTTTTCCAAACAGTATGTGTCCACATGAGGCCACAGCACAGTAGTAGGTTCCAGAATTAGAGATGTTCAGTGGAAGGTTGTAGACACAGGTGTGTGTTTGTGTGTTTGGTTTCTTCTCACACTGATCACTCCTGCCTCCACTGGTGTAAAGGAGTCCTGGCTGATGTTCTCCAGAGCTGAGGAACCAGTAAACACTGTGTTCTCCATCACAGCTGCCAGGGTGAACTGTACAGCTAAGATTCACCGAGCCTCCTGGCTGGAAGTTCTCAAACTGTGGCTGATGGACCACCACTTGATCATTCAACTCTGCAGCTCTGACACTGACTGTGATGCTCTCCATGAATCTTAACTCTCTGTAATCCCATTTGGCACATAGGTAAACTGCAGAATCTGAAGAGTTAACATTTGATATGATCAGATTATAGTGATCCACTTCAAAATCCAGAGTGAATCGACTGTTGTCAAATCCATCAATTAATGTATTACTTGTGGTGGTGATGGGCATTGGTATCTGTCCTAAAACGTGTTTGTACCAGAAAACTACAGCTATTTCTGTTTTGTCATTGCAACACTTCATGGTGATAGTTTGACCAACATGAGCTGATATTACACTCCTCTGCTGACAGTCAGGTGGAGACAGACGGGTCATCACAGCTGAGGTGATGGAGGAGACACAAAAAAGTAAATTGTACTTAATAAAAACAATGACGACATCAGTTACTATCAGCTATTAAACAGTAAAATACCACTCACCCTTTTTGTAGGAGTACAAACATAAGAGGCAGAGAAGAAAGTGTATAGAAGTCATCTTGATCTATTGACGAACCTGAGTAAAAAGGTCTCAGTCTTTTTTCTCGCTTGACAGACAGGACTTACATCTGATTGGCCAATACGACATTACGATTTCCTGTGAGGAAACGTAGGCACACGCTCGCAAAGTTTTGTTGTAGAAGACCTGTGGAGAATGTGGCGGCTCTTTATCTTTACATGTCACCTTAAATCCTACTCAAATTGACATATTTTTTCCTCCCAAACCACAATGTTTATGTAGTGTAATGTACTGTGTATCAGATGTAACTTGCCCATAAGGTAAAGTCTGAGTTGTTCTTGGGTTCTGTTGATAACTAAACTCAAGTTTACAATTTGGGATTTGGATAACGTGTAACATGGGGTTTAGTTCAGTTTATTGGGCTCATAGGTAGATTTGGTTTGCAGTACCAGGGATGTACACATGTAGTCCACAAAGAACAGCCATATAGAACATATGATACATATATAGAGATAAACAGATAATAGATCATTTCTAACCCAAATAAAAAAATAAAAAAAAAAATCCTAAAAAGAAAGAAGAAAATGAAATATATATTCAGGAATTAACCCTATAACGCCAAACATATCATATTTGATACATGAGTTTTACAGCCCTCCACATGAGCAGTGATATTTTTTTTTCCTGAAAAACCAGATGTATACAATCAGATACATGCAGTGCACAGATAATCCAACAGAGGATAGTAATTCACTCATTAGCAGGCCTTCCAGTGACACTACAAGATTGCCATGACTCAGGATTTGGACACAGGTGGTTTTTGAAGAAAACCTTTGCCAAGTTTGAAAAGGTTAAGAGAAGAAAAACATTGAAAAGTTTACTGAAACATCCATAGGAATAGTCACTGTGTTGATGCAATGTGAAAATACTTAAAATTTTATAATCTATGTTTTAGTAAAACTGTGTTGAAAGTGACGTGAAGAATAGAGTACAGGCAGGATGGAACAGCTGGAGAAAAGTGTCAGGAGTGATCTGTGAAGAGTGTCAGCTAAGGGGAAGGGAAAGGTGTACAGGACGGTGGTGAGACCAGCCATGATGTATGGTTTAGAGACGGTAGCAATAAGCAGAAGACAGGAGGAGGAGCGGGAGGTGGCAGAGTTAAAGATGCTAAGTTTGTATGGGAAAAAGGAATCTTTGAGACCTTTGTGACCTGATGTATCAAATATGATACCAATTGAAAATTATATTTGAAAGTGTTTTTGTTTGTTTGTTCAGAGGGACTGATAAAGGGTCCAAGTTCAAAGAATTGGAATTTTCTGTCAATTATTTAATGGTTTGGGCTTTACAGTCTGACCAGATGAAAAGCTCCATGTGATGATTCCCTCTGTCAGGACACTTGGTATGGAGGTCTGGACCCAAAAGCAGTACCACTGAGAATGGTGGTTAGGTGAACAAAGTTTATTTCTCTGAACAATTCAGAACGTACAGAATGTGAACAGTGCAGAATTTCCAGCGGGTGAAGTATGCGTCCACGTGGCAGTGATAAACTTCAAACAACTCCCAACGTGCAAACTCCCTCCACAATTCGTGACCACATGCTCCAAATATTCCAAGGCGTTGTTTCCTGGTGAAGCGGTGTGTTTAAATACATTTGTTTCTTGGTGAGCAAATGAACAGCAGGTGTGTGATGCCCATCGAGGAAACTCACCTACACTTACAAGGAAACACAATGCAGCCTGGTGTCCGCCTATGCACACACCCACACAGAGTGCAGCCACCCTCTCCACACCTCTGAGCCTCCCATTCCAGAATCCTCTGCACATGAACTGTGAGTCGTCATTACAAATACAACTGGCCCATCTCTTGGGTATACAGAGACTCGGGGGCCGATATTGGTCAAGTTACGTACTTGGAAATAGTACGTCGTTATTGAGTACTGATTATTTCTCCAAGAAAGTAATCCAGTTACTTTACTGATTACTTATTTTCCAAATTAATTAGTGCCTTTAATAATTACTTTACTTTTGAAAAAACCTGCACAACCTAAATACGCTATAAAGCAACAGACCTTCCAGCCTTCTTCTATTATTTCTGCATTCTATCATATTAAACTGAATCAAGAGAAACGGTCTCTTTACAAAACTTGATTTATTCATTTCGATCTTTAAAATCAATGTACATTGTATCAAAAATTAAATTTAACAGTTTGACTAGAAGAAAATTATTGGACATTTAAACCTATTTGCTGCACATTCCAACTTATTTTAATGAAAGAAGACAAATCTTGTATTTCTGCATATTGCACTATATAAAACATTGTTTTGTGTGTTTATACACCTTCATTTGCATAAATATAAAAATAGAATACAGCAAAAGAATAATTACAGTTAAAATCTCTCCTGACTGTATTCCAAATTACTAACATGTAACAAATCAACATCGATGCACTGGAATGATTCAGAGTCTACAGTGGCAACATGTCCTCAACAATATAGCCAGCAATAAGCTTCTTCGGCCGCTTCTTCTTCAAAATGACAACCAAACTCTGGCTCATGGACAACAGGCGGCTTCTCGTTTATCAAGACGGACCAGTCAGTAACAAAAAGAGTTGATTACATTGTTAGGGCGCGGTGTAGGATAGCGCCCGGCGGAGGTCAGCACCCAGCTGCAGGAGGGAGAGCACAGGAGTGGCGACACAGGTGTAGCCAAGGATGCATGTGAGCACAATTGGAATAATCAAGCCTGTCATCTGTCATTTGTGTCAAGGGACGATTAACTTACATACACGTTGTCCAACTAGTCAGACAAACCAGTTGTCTGACCGGTTTGTCATTTCTTAATGGCAGTGTTATTGTTTTGTGCCGAAGAACGGCACAATACTTGAGCCTGATTAAACGCTAATATAATTATAATTCACCATTGTTGGTTTGCCTCATTTTTTATTATTGCATTTGTACAGACCAACTGTGGGGTTTTAAAAGCCAGTATAAAATTTTATATTATTTATATTTTATTTTATATTTGATTGGGGGGATATAGAAAGTTTTGGGTTTTTCTGTGACGCAGAACATTTTAACATGGGGAAAAAAATGGTACATTACGTAAACTTAAAGGCACTCAGCTCTACTGCTCTACACTGAAGTAGACACACCGACTCCAGGTGTTTTCACTCAGATGACTTGGACCCATGATCCTCTTCATATCTCCAGTTACATTGTGATCGAGATTTTCTTGATTTTTGCAACTCTGTTTATGGCACAAATGACAATGTGATCAAAACATGGACACTTTGTATTGTCATCTTGTTGTATTGTGACAGGGTGAGTTGTACTGCATAATTAATTTACCTCTGCATTTTCAATGGTCATCCTTGGACATCTCCTGGTTGATTCTGAAAAGTGATGTAAGCCAAATTAGTATTAGTTTAATTACAATAGTTTACTTTATACGTCAGATAGGTGGATAGAGAGAAAAATCACTACTTGTACAGATGCACTTCCTTCTCTTCTTCAGGCTCCAGACACAGAGACCCATTAGGACACTGAGGATATTGCTGGATAAAACAGCTCCACTCAGAGAGAGCACCAGGATGTCATCGTCCACTCTACCTACAAGGTCAAACAGCATCCACAGTGTCCTCAACACATTTAACAAAGTCGGGGTAATATGTGTTCCTTTTATAGTGATTGTCTGGCAGTGACTTACTCTCAAAGTCCAGCTCAATCCTGTTTTTGAACAGTATGTGTCCACATGAGAGGACGGCACAGTATCGGTTCCCAGCGTGATGCAGAGTCAAGTTTTGAGTTGACAGGTTGTCGTAACAGGTTTGTGTTTTTCCTTCCTTCTTATGCTGCTTCCTCCTCTCTTTCTTGACAATGTGATCGAAACATGGACACTTTCTAGGTATAAATGAGTCCCTGGTGACGTTCTCCTGGATTTTGGAACCAGTAAAAACAGTTCTCTCCCTCACAGCTCCCAGTGTGTACCGTACAATTCAGACTTGCTGTCACTTTGGTCTGGATGCTCTTAGACACCATCTGCGGGACCACAGCTGGGATGTTGATACCTGACCCTACCACACTCACAGTGGTACCCTCTGCAAATTGCACTCTTTCTACAAAGCTATTTGCACAGTAGTAAGTGGCTGAATCAAAAAAATTAACATCTCCAATCTTCAGGTGAAATGTGATACCTTCGGTGTCCAAAGAGAAGCGCGGGTCATCCGCAAACTCGTCAAAAAATTCAAGCTTGCTTGTGAACTTGTAGAAAGTTAAGATGCGCTTCGGCCTTTGTCCTGGAAATACTTTATACCAATGAAACCATGATACAACTCCATACACAGGGAGGCATCGCAAAGAGATACTTTCTCCAACATGTGCTGATATGAACTGTGTCTCCTGATGGACCGACAGTGACAAATCAGTCATCACCACTAACATATAGAAAGAAAGAATAAACACGTGTTTATATGATTTCTATGCTGAGTTAAAATGTTCTGAAACATCATTGGTAAATGACATTTCTGTAATCTTCATGTAATGACCCAGTGCCTATTTCAGGTATACCTGTAATAAAACTCAACTCACCAGTATTCTTCAGTAACAATATGAGGTGGAGGATCAATTCTGCAGGTCTTGTCATATTCAGATCTTCGGGGGAATAGTCTTAACACTGTTGAACAAGTGGTTCACCAGAAATATGTTGTTTCTTCTCTACTGAGAAATGTCTTCAAATTCTGAAGGAAGTGAGGTTGACTGGCCTGCTTTTAAATGGGTCAGGTTTTTTTTTTCTTTCGTTCTTTCAGAAAAGTGTATCGAGAACCTTGTGGCTCCTCAAGTTTTCCAACAATGGAAATCACATTACAAATACAAACATATACACTGTTCTCTCACAGTGTCTTTTCTAATGGATGTCAGATGATTTTGTAATTCCAGTCAGTGCAGTTTTTTGTTTGTTTGTTTGTTTTTTTGGTAAAAGAAAAAAGAGAAATGGTACTTCTAAAGAACATTTTAGTTCCATTTCACATACATACACTGTACAGGCACACAAAGTCACACCTAATAATTTAACAGAGGTGGAAAACCTACTAAAAGATGCAATTAAGTAGAAGTACATCTAAATTCTACATCTCATCTTAAATACAGTGGACACCCTAGATACGAGCTACCCAAAATACTAGTATTCCACAGTACAAGTCTGCAATTACTGCGAGTTTGATGTCCAGTTGCCTAACAAAACTCTTCAATTGTGACCATGACCTGGATGACTAAGAATCTTCATAGTCAAGCATTGCAAGATTTTGCTACTGATATGAGGAAATATCTAGTTAGATATTAGAGTGCACAACAATGCTCCATTTTTCCACACGATTTGAAAACCTCGCGCATACAGGTTCATGCAGGGTTTTGCTCACTGTCCGTTGCTTGCTTATGTTGTATTTTTTGGGGTTTTTGCTTGGGGTTTTTTCGGGGGGCGGGGGTGGTGGATTAGCAGCCAGGCATTATCCCCGTTGTCGGCAGTAGGGAGGAGCTGGAGAAGCTAACCTGTAGACATGCCGTTCATAATAAATGAGAAAAAGCCCTGTCCAGATATGGGCAGATAGTCACTCCTACGGAGATGGTGCTGTTCAGATGCCAATTTTCCAAGCTGAAGCATGTGGTCTGTCACAGAAGGTAGGTTTACATGATCCTTAAAGACGGACAGTCACCTCAACCTGACTCTCAATTTTAGGATAGATGGTTTTAACTACATTGTCACTTCAGAAACAATGAAGTGTTTTGGTTGTGGGGCTGAGAGTCATCTCAACTGTGCTTGTCCTAAGGCCAAGAGGGAAAACACTTTTCACTGGGAAAGCCCCAGGCTTGGAACGTCTGGTGGAGGACACCAATGCTTTGGGCTCGGAGGGACCAGTGTGGCATGACAGTGCTTCGGGCTTGCAACGTCCAGCGGAGGACACCGGACGCTGCAGCTTAAAAGAGAAGATGTGTTCAGCGAACAGGAGGTTTTTAGAAGCTGGTGATTAAAGCCAGGGCTGCACTGGTTGAAGATGATGTCCAACTCCACGAGGTTGCTGCACACTTTAATACTGGGACCATTAATATTAATGGTGGATGCACAGAGAATAAAAAAGAGATTCACAGTCACAGCAGGGATGTGAATCTCTGTTGTATCAAAGTTGGGTACTCACAAAAAAGTTGCTTACACCATGTTCTACAGATGTATCAAAACTGAAATGAGAGTGGAAATGGGCGACGCCTCATGTACAAACCTTGCGTAGACAAAAAAAAAACTTTGTACGTCCTTTTCCTCACTTTCAGACGTCTCAGAATTGAAATGATCTTGGAAATGTGCAGGCCTCACGACAGGTCCAGAGCTGGCGTACGCACGTTTCTACACCTATGTGTCTTTGTACAAGTAGTCATCAGTCACATCGTCATGTAATGTGAACATCAGAGCCACACTTACGATTAATTCACAAAGTGTGCAGTTATATGGGTGGATGGAAAGAATAGTTATGAAAGAAAGCAATGCAGTGTTAAGAAACGTTATTAACAATTGCAGCGGTAGGACCATGTTCACATCAGTGCAGAAGTGGTGAGATTATGGAAAAACTGTAAAAACCTTTTGTCAACAGTATACTCACGCAGTCACCACGCACATTACTAGATCCCTTCAGGACCTGGAGACTGAGGTACAGCCCTTACTGAGCTGTACAGGAGAGGAAGGGCGGGTAAAAGTCCCCTTGAAAGTAAAAAGGCTGCTTTAGCCAACCCGTTGAGCATCACAGCACAGGGGGTTCTGGTCCAGTCACGTTTTATGAACGCTTCCATGATGGACGCCACCTCCAAGTTGCTTTTCAGCCTGGAGAGCAAGAATGGCCAGAGGAAAATGATCCACTGCCTACGCACAGACAACAGGTCCACTCTCACTGAAGTCACTGAGATCAGGAGACATGCCACATGTTTTTAAAGAGACCTTTTTAAATAAGAGTTGGTGGAGGATCCAGAGGTAGATGAAGATTTTCTGGCTGATCTACCTCTGGTAAGGGAATCTTCCGATTCCCTTTTATTGGCAGACCTGAAACTGGATGAGCTGCATGTGGCCCTCATAAGTCTTGCCAATGGAAAGTCTCCAGGTATCGATTGGATCCCAGTGGACTTTTATAAAGCTTTCCCGACGGTAGTGGGCTTCCGACATCCTGGACTCCAGCTAAGTCAGAAGCCCTACACAAAGGACTAAACTTTGCAATAACCTCAATAGCTACCAATGGTAGATCCTATAACAGCCATAGAGTCGGCCACCAAGCATCGGTAGTGCTCTCTAGTGCCAAATTACCTCCATCTAACATCCCCACCCAGGAGAGAAAGGGACTGAAACACTACAGAAAGATCCCAACGTCACAATCTTACCAGTAGACAAAGGGAGATGCACTATAATACTCCGACACACCACCGACTACCACTCCAAAGTGGCCTGCTCAGTGACACGACAACTTACGAGTTCCTCAGATGAGACCCCACTAATAGCTACAAATTAAAAGTGGCCAATTGCCTACAGAAGCTGGAGAAGGAACGGATTATTGACCGAACCCTGCACTATAAGCTTTATCCAGAGAATGCTATTCCTTGCATCTATGGGCTGCCAAAAATACACAAAGAAGGTGGCCTCCTCAGACCCATTGTAGTTACATACAATACAGCTACGTATCCTGTTACCATCTCCTCTCCATATTAAAAACTCAATGGATTTCACCACCAAAATCAATCAGATCAAACTGCAGGCTGAAGAAACCATTGTGTCATACGATGTCACGTCACGGCACAGGAGAAAAAAGAGAAAACTGTGAAATGATGACAACCTGACCCCTGAACAGTTGTCTGACCTTCTTGACTTATGTCATGTAATGTGTAACAGAGTTCTAAATATACAGTATGGTTATAGGTGCACGTTAGGAGGTCTGTCATTAAATTTTTGTTTAAATTTAATGACAGACCTATAAAGTTTTTTTGTTTTTTGAGATTATTTTAATGCTATGATTTCTAGAATGTTTTTACTTGAATATCGGTGTGTGTTAAGAAATGCCAGTTAAGATTTATTTGAGAACCAGATGCAGTTATCAAAAGAGCCATGGGTTCCCAACCCCATACCTTTAATATTTCAAAGTGATTGCTCTTAGTAGAGTATACTCAACATAAAAATTAACACTTAATAAGGCTTGTTTAAGAAATGTGCAATGGAGGTCTTTGGACTATCCTTCTTGTAAATAATTGCAGTGAATTTGACCACAAGTCTTTGAAATGTTTTTCATCTGCTGCTGCAGCTTATACATCCTCCGTGGTAACACTGGCCCAGATACTGGTTGTCGTCGCCCACATTTTATCTTTACCTTATGTTCTCCAATTCTCAGAAACAAGGCTGTTTGTTAGCCTTAGGTGAATTTGATTGGCCGGCCTGAAGTGTAAGAAGTGAGGTCATGTTTCTGCCACCAATAAAGTCTTTTCTGGCAGGTTTTTCAGTCTAACCCTTTGCAGAACTGCTGACCACAGTGTTTGCAACAAAAGCATTTCTCGCACAATTATTTTCCAGTACACAGAACTGATTGTTTTATTTCCCCCCTTGCACTTTCAAGTAGTAAAGAAAAAGATTAGCTCACTGTGACAGATAACATTTGCCATTTGGGTTAGTCACATGATTTTCTCAGATTAATAACATTGTACGCAAAATGTTCTATTGAACTCAAGAGCAGTGTACAGCACAGTTCCATTGAAATACTACTGAATTATGAACAAAAGTCTATTGCATTTAAGTTAAGCGTTAGATTCCAGGTAATATTCTGACTTCATCATGTAGTTCAATGGTTTTCATTTTGTTTGGTCAGGTGTACTTTGAGGTAGACTTCCTGTTTGATAGTGCAGAGTGGAGAAATTTTATTCTGATGACACTAGAAGCTCAGCATAAAAAAAACTAAGTTGTGGGCAACAGCCAGAGCACTGGGCTGTGAGTGGAGCAGAAATTAAGATGCAGCCAGGGCCACAGAAATAAGGTCAGAAGAACGGGTGAAATACTGTGCATACCTAGTTCGCATGTTTTCACATTGTGAGTATGGGTATATATCGGTCCAAAAACAGGCAGGTTTAGGTTAATTGAGCAACAAATGTAGACCATGACTGCCACAGAAGTAGATGAACGCAAGTTAATGCACTAAAAGTCTTTACTTTCTTCTATTACATGCTATTTTACAAGCCCAATATCACATACAGATGAAATCAGCTCTGTGCCAAAGGTCATATGACCAAACCAGAAAACAGGTCAACACACTTTGTCTCTTGACTAATCGCCAAGGTATAATCTGGTGAGACCCACACTTTATACGACCAAACACACACACGCACGCACATGGTTAACAGTTATTTTTGGTGACTTGGTGTTTTCAGATTACAAAATGAGTCTAGGCATATGTCATATATATATATAGATATATATATATAGACTGATGTACAGCCAAACCTGCAACATCAGAAAATTAATTTGTTTCAAATAAAAAAATAATAATAAAAGAGAAAACACATTGATATTAGTGAGCAAAATAGTCAGGAGCCTCTTGTTACACAGTGCCATGTGAGAGGGGGCAGGCAGGAGCCAAATGCAGCACTTAGAGACTATCTTCAAGACGCTTTGTGAGTGTTCATTAAAAAAGTCAGAAATCATTAAAACACACTGGAAAACTTGGGACAGGGAAAACAGAAAGAGGGAACAAGGAAAAGCTATAGACATAGATAGACCCACATCCACAATAAACCAAGCAGAACTGAGTCAGGGAGTGAGGTATATATACCTAGGGCACCAGGTGACACGAGTCAGACTAACGACAGAGACACAGGTGAGTGTGATCACACTGATTACACCACACAGCAGACACAGCAGGAGGGAAGGGAGACAGACCTCACACCTCTGTAGGTTTAGTTAACACTAATATATTTATTCACATTCATTTGGTCCATGCCTTGATCAGTTGAGCTGGTTGATGCTGCCAGTGAAGCTGCAATGGATAACCGAGCCAAACAAATGGTTTTCTTTCATTTGCCTGTGAGCATATGGTTTAAACCTATTGTCTATTTTGGTAGAAGGAGTTTTAGATGAAGTCCTGCATATGTGATGGACATCGGCCATGTTGATTTTGGGAAGCATCTGAAGGCATCTCGTGTAAAACGTACCATCACATTTTATTGCTTCCTTGTTCTGAATTCTTCTTTCTTCTTTCCTATAATCTTTCTGCAATTACATTTAGTGAAACAACTCATTCCTTTTTATTGAAGTAAATCAAAAAATGAGAAGTCAAAGCGAATGCACCATAAGCACACCAATCTCAGAGTGTGATTCACTGTGAACTCCTTTCGGTTTTGTTGAGAGATTGTGCTAGCCACGTTCAATTTGTAACAACCCCGCTTTAGCCTTTTGAAAATGCTTTATGCTCATATCATGTTTACTAAACACACATAAATAAATCATGGAAATGATGGCTTACATTGACTTGCCTGAATACCCTTGGCCTAATTTGGGCAAACTGTTTAAATGAAAAGGAAGGAAGAAAGTCTTTTATTAAGAAATTTTATTTGTATTTCTCTGCCTGCCTGAGCACAATACAGTTTCATTTTTTCAAGATTTATCCCTATTTAGGGAAACACAAAGATGGAATTGTTTTTTGTTCTGGTTGGTTTGATGACTAGCAACAGACTTTAAGTGCTTTACTTTAAATGTAATCTACGTTGTCTGCATTGTGTTCGGTGAGTCATTTATTTGTCTTGATTTGTCGGTAGGACTCAATGTTTCATGCTTACAATCTTTTAAAAAGACAAATATAAGACACTATTGGAAGGAGTGGTAGTTAGTGTTTTCACCTTAAATCAGTTCACTGAGCAGAAGCTTTGATGTGAAAATAATAAAATGCCATTACAACCATAATTGACTAATGTACTTTTACTTTTAATACTTAATTAAAGGCAAATACTTTTGAACTTTAACTCAATTGGAAATTCAAAGAGAATACTTTCCATTTTACTGGGGCACTATTACATAGTACATAGTTGGTGAACTTCGTCCACCACTGCCTTCCTGTTACATCAGTGATTGCAGTAAATTTAACCACAGCTCTTTAAGCTGTTTTTTCCAGTGCTGCAGTTTCTACATTCTCTGTGGTACACCGGTTTGTTAGGTGGATCTGATTCACAGACCTGAAGTGAGTCTGTGGTAGAGGAAGATGTCATATCAGATGTCATATCATGTCAGATAGTGTGGCCATCAGTGTGACAAATGCTGTAGAAATCTAGATGTACAACTGTGTGTTGCATATAAACAAAAAGGGGATTTCCTAAACTCTATAACAACACTTTGCGTGGTACTGAATGTACATAATTATATGTACGACTGTGTGTGTTGACCAGTCCAGTTTGTTGTTAAGGTGAACACCCAGATATTTATAATCCTCTACGAGTTCAATGTCCAAACCCTGGATGTTCACTATGGTGGTGTGGGGTGGTGTGTGTTTTCCTGAAGAATTGGATAATCATCTCCTTGGTTTTGATGTTGTTGATCTCGTACGCAGCCAACAGTGGCTGAGTCATCAGAGAACTTCAGGAGATCAACAGAGTCCAAGTTATGAGTGGAATCAGGAGGTGGTATACAGAAAACAAGCAAGATCTAAAGCACGTAAGTTAATTAATTAATGACATGTCGAGTTGCCCATATATATATATATATATATATATATATATACACACACGCACTGTTACAATTCCAATACAGTAAGTACCGTACATACTTGCCAAATTTAAAACACCAAAAAATACACATCAAATTGGGGAGGCGGCCTATATGTGAATAAATACGTTTTTCGTGAATACAGCGTTTTCCATCGATCGCATCATCACCAATAATAAACACCATCGAAGGTATGGTCAAAAATATCATTAAACTTATAAATAACCTCAATCCACACAAACTACAACTGATATTTAATAATTAGTTAAACTGCACCACTGATATACAGTAATGCAAAAAACAAAAAAAATGCAACAAACATTGGCTTAATCTTCGTAATTTTAACGTAAACAGTGTTTACCAACATAATGTTCTAACTCTTTGTTGATGCACAGCAGGAGTAAGACATTTTACCACGGCAAAAAATGTGAACATTACAGTAGGCTTATATGCAGGTTTTTGTAAAAATCACCATTTTGGGATCAATTTTCAGGGTGGCTTGTGCGCAAATCGACTAATACATGAGTATGTGCGGTATATAAAAATACACACTCATATTGGTAATTTGTCTTTTATCAATTTTTATACAGGAGGCTGCGGCTGATTCCTGCACAAAAAAACATTTATTTTTGATGCTCGCACATAATATGTGTTCAGGTAACCAAATCTTGCAGGTAGTAAAATATAGATATATATGTGTAATATATAGACACACATCAGTGGTCTGTTACATGGCTCTGATGAAGTAACTTGTTTAGCAAGCAAATCATTTGGACTGGGAAATTTATGAGGTAATTTAATGTTAAAGTATACATTATCTCTCCATATATACTGCTATAATTTAACAATACATATTTATTTGGAGAAATACCTCACCTAATACAGAGCTAATGTCGTACACTGGAGTACACACAGTCATTCTCCACATTGTCCATCCGTCGTCTGGTTCTGTTGTGGACACTTAAAGCAGCATAATGGAGGTTTTCTTCATCTCCGTAGCCCTGCAAACAACACACACTATATCAGTTCACCGTGGTATGATGGTGGACCGAGGGTTAAAGAATGATGACATGGTGAGAGGTTTCATTTACCTCTTCATTTGTTGTGGAGGGAGCTGATATTTCTCTGGTTGAATCTGGTTATAAAAATTGATAATATATATTATTATTAAATCAAAGTTCCCTGAATAAAATCCACCCAGTATTAATTATAAATAAAGTGTTACCTGAACACTTGCAGCAGTTCTCTTTGTTCCTCTTAACCAGTAACACAGACAGAAAAACACTGAGGATGGAGGTGAAGGTCAAAGCTGCGTACATTAAATACGTCAAGTTCACTTCGTCTGCTGAGGAGAAAATTCAAAATCCTTTGTCTCATATATATATAATACATGCAGTACTTTAAAGAATGAACCTTGATTTCCTGACCGGTGTCTTGGAGTAACCTACCTTGAGACTCCACTTTAGTTCCTTTTCCAAACAGTATGTGTCCACATGAGGCCACAGCACAGTAGTAGGTTCCAGAATTAGAGATGTTCAGTGGAAGGTTGTAGACACAGGTGTGTGTTTGTGTGTTTGGTTTCTTCTCACACTGATCACTCCTGCCTCCACTGGTGTAAAGGAGTCCTGGCTGATGTTCTCCAGAGCTGAGGAACCAGTAAACACTGTGTTCTCCATCACAGCTGCCAGGGTGAACTGTACAGCTAAGATTCACCGAGCCTCCTGGCTGGAAGTTCTCAAACTGTGGCTGATGGACCACAGAGTGAACGGTCAACCTTGACTTCTCCACTCTCACAGTGATGGCCTCCTTGAATTCCATCACCACATCCCGACCACTCATACAGAAGTAAGTTGCTGAGTCTGTTGGTTGAGCATCTGCAATACGAAGGTTCATCTGATCATCTTTCTTTTCTAATCTAAATCGTGGATTGTCCTTAAATTCATGGTGAAATTTTGCCACTTCTTGGAACGAATATACGGAACAGATGATTTGCGGCTTCCGACCCAGTCTTTGCCTATACCAGAAAAACTGTACGTCACTGTGGTCCACCACACACGCCAAAGTCAAGTCTTCACCAACAATAGCTGAGATTAATCTGACGTTTTGTTGGTCAACTGTTGCGGTGATTAGAGCTAATAAAAGAAAAAAACAGTAAAATGCACATTAATATGTTATATAAACTATGTCATGACCAAAACACTGTAAATCAAGGTAGTCAACTCACTCATTTCTCCTAAGAGCAGACAGAGAAGGTAGAAAGCCCTGTTTAAAGATGACATCTCTCTGAAATTGTGGTAGCCAATGAGGGCAAACTACTTTTTTCTCCTCTCTGCAACAATTAGCGCTTTCCATGATTGGCCGGCTGAACAGAACTGGTCACATGCTCAAAGCCTTTTATGGTGCGTTTCCAGGAATCACGTGATTGGATTAACCTAGTACTGTAATAAGAATTACAACAGTACTAGTTATAACAATTTCTCTTAGTTTAGGTTAGTGCTCTTTTGCCAGAGTTCAGAAATGTATCACAACATTTGTGTTTGCTCAGAATCAGTCAATATTATTTTGGAAAGATTTTTTTAAAAAAAAATTAATTTAGTAAAGAAATATATAAATATACCAATGACAGTATGTGATACTGTATATACAATTTGTCGACTGCCTGTTTCGTATGGCGTGTTCCTGAGTCTTTTGACCAAATTGTTATAGTTTTGAGTTTGTGCTTCCTAAAACAGAGTCACAGACCAAAACAGATTCACAGACTCCAAACATATCAGACTTTGGAAATATAACAAGTGATTTAGACCACACGTAGAAAACAGCAGCATTACTGGAGATGATGGTAGCCTTTATATTGAAGTACAGTAGTACTGCAGTAGAAATGTAGTAGACATGTACATAGTAGGTATTACACAATTACAACAGTAAACATTGAGCTCTAACCTTCCTTCATGCATGGGTTCTATACGCTGAACTTCTGAACAACATTTCTTTCTTTAAATATATGAGTGAAATACAGTTGAACTCATGCAAACAGTCACAGTTGTAGTGGAAAACAATGCAAAAAAAGTATAGTTTAATGGATGGTAAAAGGCAAGAGAGAATTCACACCTACATCCTCTGTGAAACCACAATGAGACTTCAACAGAGAGCAGAGGTCGGTTAACACAGAACTGGCCGAGCCTTTGCAAAACTGCAGACCACACTGTTATAAGACCACTTCTCACTGCTGACAAATATTTTCCAGTACACAAAACTACTTGTTTTGTGTACTGGAACATTATGTTACATAAACATTATGTTATGCTGGTAGCTACTCTGAAGGATGATAGCACAGATCCGCTCATGTGATCACCATCTTTACTCCGTCGTTCAAACATACATCTGTACACACTTCTTTTCCTCTCTCCACCTCCAGATCCACTGCATGTTATGAACACAACAGATTAGTTCACGGCAACAGTTACCACGAACCATCGTGGTTAGTCACGTGATTTTCTGTGATGAATGGCCATTAATGACATCATTGTGTCCAAAAAGTTCTAATAGATGTTCAAAAGTTCTGCTTGATAAAGCTCTAATGTGTAAATCACTTTAAACAGAAATGCTCTCCAACTGAATTTGATGAAAAATGCATTTAAGTGAAGCTTTAGACTCCAGGTACTATTCTAACTGCTTCATGTTGGTTTTTCTTTCTTCTTTAGAAGATGCAGCGGAGAAGTTTAATGGATGGTAAAAGGCAAGAGAGAATTCACACCTACATCCTCTGTGAAACCACAATGAGACTTCAACAGAGAGCAGAGGTCGGTTAACACAGAACTGGCCGAGCCTTTGCAAAACTGCAGACCACACTGTTATAAGACCACTTCTCACTGCTGACAAATATTTTCCAGTACACAAAACTACTTGTTTTGTGTACTGGAACATTATGTTACATAAACATTATGTTATGCTGGTAGCTACTCTGAAGGATGATAGCACAGATCCGCTCATGTGATCACCATCTTTACTCCGTCGTTCAAACATACATCTGTACACACTTCTTTTCCTCTCTCCACCTCCAGATCCACTGCATGTTATGAACACAACAGATTAGTTCACGGCAACAGTTACCACGAACCATCGTGGTTAGTCACGTGATTTTCTGTGATGAATGGCCATTAATGACATCATTGTGTCCAAAAAGTTCTAATAGATGTTCAAAAGTTCTGCTTGATAAAGCTCTAATGTGTAAATCACTTTAAACAGAAATGCTCTCCAACTGAATTTGATGAAAAATGCATTTAAGTGAAGCTTTAGACTCCAGGTACTATTCTAACTGCTTCATGTTGGTTTTTCTTTCTTCTTTAGAAGATGCAGCGGAGACTTCCTGTTTGAAAGTAGGCAAACAAAGACAGTGGAGCATTTTCAGACTGATGATGATACAAGCCAAGCCCAAATCTAAACATCTCACTGTCGTGTGGTCAACAGTCAACTTGTCAACTTGAACAGAGGTGGTAGTTGGCTCTGCAGCTAACATGACAGTGGAGTCAAAGAATAAAGATAATCTTTGTGTCCACTCTCTGAACACCAGCTCACTGTTATATTCATAGTCATGTGCATTAATGAAAGCACAGGGTTGGATTCCCTCTTTCATGGCTCTGAGTGCATGTCTCTCCACTCTCTCAACCCATTCATGATAACGAAAGAACACAAGCCATTAAGTTAAGGTGCACTGAGGCTCACTGTTAGGATCCTGACCCTTTTTTTTTTGGAATTGATCTACATAATACAAATGCTACTAGGGAAACAATGGTCCTTGTTAAATGTCAGAAGTCAGGGGCGCTCAACCTTTGACCTTTGCAGGTTGAAGCCTCTCCATTATTTTTTTTTCTCTAGTGAAAATGTCCCAGAGAGTATGGAAGAGTTTTTCTGCCACACAGAAAAAAAATTGGGTCAGTGTTTTACGTAATAACTTTCACATATGATGATGAATGAAATGATGAATGAAGGTCCACCTGTGAGGCAAGAATATGGCTTGTTTACATGATTTATGTGAATTGTACTTCATGCTTGGCTTGAGGCATGATGAGACTGTACAATTATTGGGCTTAGTTGATGAGATGTACAGTATATTAGTATGTGTACTCCCTGAAGGTGAAAACAAAACTCACAAAGAAGTTCATGTTGCCTGGATCCACAGCACTGGGGCCCCACCCTGGAGCCAGGCCCGGGGTTGGAGCCTGGTGTTCATGGGACCCGACCGGGCTCAGCCCGAACAAGCGACGAGAGCCCGCC